GGGGTGAGGTGGAATCTTAGCGTGGTTTTAATTTGCATTTCCTTTATTGCTAGAGATGGTGAGCATTTTTTCATGTGTTTTCTGGCCATTTGAACTGTTCTTCATTTTTATAAGTGTGTATTGACTGCGCAAGGGTGTTTTGCCTTGGTATTTCCACACGTGTATATATTGTGCTTTAATCAGTTGAACCCCCTCTGTTACTTACTCTTTCTCTATTGCTCTGCTTCCCTGTTCTTCAACAGCTTGCAGTGTGCATACTTTTTTTTAATTAGCAATACCCTGGAATTAATTTAAAATATCTATCATACCAAGGTTATAAGTTCCCTTACTCATGTTATTGTTAAGATTAATTCTGTGTTTGGCAATAAAAACCCACCTTTGGAATGCAGGGGCAGGCCATATTTTCCTTCTGTTTGAGCACTAGATTTTTTTCTTGCATGAAGCTTTGATAGATTCTGACCTGCTTTCCTGTACTAAATTTTGTCCTTTAGCAACTTGTTTCTTTTTTTTCCTTGAATTCACCTTAGCTAGAGGCCTATCTAGGATACATGTTGTAATGTCTGGTTTTTAATTTTGACAGTTGAATCTTGTATTGCTGGATTCATAATTTGCTATCTTTTTATGCATATGTGTGTATATAGTACATACATATATACATACATATGTACACACACACATATGTAAGTGATTTTTTTTCATGGGCCAATCTATTGAGCCTAGATCATTTCAGTAACCAACAGTTTATATCAGTAGGCATGGTTCCTTCCCTTTTTCATTAGGAATTTGAAGTCAGTCAGACTTACATTTAAATACTGCTTTGTCTCCCTAGCTGTATTAGTTATTACTTATATGTATTAATGAACCGTAGCCTTTTCCCTTATAAATAGCTCATACCTTGTATGGTAGATATTTTGAGATTTAAAGATAATTTAGATTCGTTGTTTAGCTGAACACATAGTAGCTATTTACATAGGGTGACTATTAAAATTAAGGAGCAACAATATCTAATACATTTTTATTAGTGTGTATTAATTGTACAACATGGAGGTTTTGTTGTGATATTCTCATACATGAATATAATATACTTTGAACATATTCACATCCACTATTACTTTATCCTTCCTCTCCTCACCCATTCTTTTTAAAATCTTTCTTACAATTTTTAAAAAATGGGTTTCAAAGCTGAAGATGTGGTAAAGCACCTGCTTAGCAAGTTGGAAGCCCTGTGTTCAAACCCCAGTACTGCCAAAAATTGGGTTTCATTATGACCTTTTCATACATGCATACAAGTGTGCTTTGATTATACCCTTTTTCTTCTCATCCTCTTTCCCCCTTCCCACCAGTCCTCCACCCCATGTCTCCCATTTATGTTTATATATCCATGATTTTCTTTAAGTCTACATTTTTATGTAGGACTTTGGTAGCTAGTTGTATGAGACCAGAAATTTGCTTACTAAATAAAATCTTTCATATCCTCTTTTTTTTGGGTGGTACTGGAGTTTGAACTCAGGGCCTTGAGCTTGCTAGGCAGATACTTTACCGCTTGAGTCATGCCTCCAGCCCTTTCTGCTTTAGGTATTTTTCAAATGGAGTCTTGAATTTATGCCCCTGAACACCTGGACTGTGATCTTCCTGTTTATGCTTCCTGTATATCTGAGATGACAGGCTCATGCCACCATACCCAACTTTTATTGGTTGAAATGGGGTCTCGCAACTTTTTTTTTGCCCAGGCCAGCCTTGAACCACCATCCTCCCAATCTTTGCCTTCCACTTAGCTTGAATTACAAGCGTGAGCCACTGCGCCTCACTTTTACATAAGGAATACTGGTGCTTGGTGATAGGAAAATCTATTTCAAGGAATCAGGTTTTTTTTTTTGAGCTATTCCTGTGTGTGGAAAATATTAATATCGGGTAGTGCAGTGTTTTTTCTTTGACTGTCTAAAACATATATGTTCCTTTTAGTTTTTTAGTGACTTAAAAATAAAGTTTTTGTTCTTTTTGAATGTTGCTAATTTTGAGTAAAATTTCCCCTTCTTTTCTTTCAATAGAATTGTTTTAAGTATTACATGAGTGATGACATTAGCCGTGACTCAGATGGAATGGATGAGCAATGTAGGTAGGTAAATAAATCAAGATGACCTAATATTCAGCATGGTCTACTTTTTTGGGGGAATTCTTATTGTAATAGAGCCATCTTCTGTAGTATCATCATTGGTAATCTTTAGTTGATGGCCGTTCTTTTCTGTAAAGCCTTGTATATGTCTAGTTTTGAGTTTCTGATAAAGAATAGCAGATGACCTAAATTAGTATTAAAAATTGCTGGTAGGAAAATTTAAATTCCTTTAATAGTAACAAAGTTAAAATTAAGCTTCCTTGGAAATAATATTTTAATCCTTAAAACATTTCAGATGGTGTGCAGAAGGTGGAAACTTGATTTGTTGTGACTTTTGCCATAATGCCTTCTGCAAGAAGTGCATTCTGCGCAATCTTGGTCGAAAGGAGTTATCTACAATAATGGATGAAAATAACCAATGGTATTGCTACATTTGTCACCCAGAACCTTTATTGGACTTGGTCACTGCATGTAACAGTGTATTTGAGAATTTAGAACAGTTGTTGCAACAAAATAAGAAGAAGATAAAAGTTGACAATGAAAAGAGTAGTAAAGTATGTGATCATGCACCCAAATTTTCTCCAAAGAAGAATAGTACAAATTGTAATGGAGAAGATAAGAAATTAGATGATTCATGTTCTGGTTCTGTAACCTACTCTTATTCTGCACTAATTGTGCCCAAAGAGATGATTAAGAAGGCTAAAAAACTGATTGAGACTACAGCCAACATGAATTCTAGTTATATTAAGTTTTTGAAGCAGGCAACAGATAACTCGGAAATCAGTTCTGCTATGAAATTACGTCAGCTGAAGGCTTTTAAATCTGTGTTGGCTGACATCAAGAAGGCTCATTTTGCATTAGAAGAAGATTTGAATACTGAGATTCGAGCTTTGGATGTATTACACAAAGAAAAAAATACCAAAGAGTATAAAGTCATGGATGCTAAGTCTGAAACAAAAGTACGAAAAGGAGAAAAACCCTGTTCTTTGGAAAAGAAGGATCTTTCAAAGTCAGAAGTTAAACCATCAAGAAAACAGGTAGATAGTGAGCACATAGATCAGAGTGGTGCACCAGCAGAGGAACAACGAGCAAATAAAAGTACCAGTGGTGAACACAAGAAGTCTGACAGAAAAGAAGAACCTCAATATGAGCCTGCTAATACTTCTGAAGACTTAGACATGGATATTGTGTCTGTTCCTTCTTCAGTGCCAGAAGACATTTTTGAGAATCTTGAGACTGCTATGGAAGTTCAGAGTTCAGCTGATTATCAAGTTGATGGCAAGAGTAGAACCGAGCAAGAACTGGAGAGCTCATCGGTAAAACTAAATGCTCCTTCAAAAGACAACAGAGGAGGTATTAAGTCCAAAACCACAGCTAAAGTAACAAAAGAATTATATGTTAAACTCACTCCTGTTTCACTTTCTAATTCTCCAATTAAAGGTGGTGATTGCCAGGAAGTTCCACAAGATAAAGATGGTTGTAAAAGTTCTGGTCTGAACCCCAAGTTAGAAAAATGTGGACCTGGGCAGGAAAACAGTGATAGTGAGCATTTAGTTCAAAATGAAGTTCCATTACTTTTAGAAGAATCTGATCTTCGAAGATCTCCACGAGTAAAGACTACCCCTTTAAGGCGACAGACAGAAATAAGCCTTGTAACATCTAATTCAGATGAGGAAAGTAATGAAACAGTTAAGGACAAACAAAAATTGTTAGTTCCAATTAAAAAAAAGGATAAGCGAAATTCTTCTGACAGTGCTATAGATAATCCTAAACCTAACAAATTGCCTAAATCTAAGCAATCAGAGATTGTGGATCAGAATTCAGATTCTGATGAAATGCTGGCAATCCTCAAAGAGGTAAGCAGAGTGAGTCATAGTTCTTCAGACACTGACATTAATGAACCTCATACCAATCTTAAGACTTTGTATAGTTTAAAAACCCAAACAGGGAAAGATGATAAAGGAAAAAGAAAACGGAAAAGTTCTACTTCTGGGTCAGAATTTGATATTAAAAAAGGCAAATCGGCTAAAAGCTCTATAATCTCTAAAAAGAAACGCCAAAACCAGTCTGACTCTTCTAATTATGACTCAGAGTTAGAAAAAGAGATAAAAAGCATGAGTAAAATAGGGGTTGCCAGAACAACCAAAAAAAGAGTTCCAAATAAAAAAGATTATGATTCTTCCGAAGATGAAAAGCATAGCAAAAAAGGAACTGATAGTCAAGGACCAAAAAGTATGAAGACTGCACAAGAGGGATCGTCTGATGATGCTGAGAGAAAGCAAGAGAAAAAGTCTCTGTCTTCAGCAGAAGGTGCAGTTGAGAGAGACAAGGCCTTCACAGGATTAAAAGATCGACCTTTGAAGAAGCAGATGCCACGTGTTTCCTCTGATGGTGCTGATAAGCTGCCTTCTGGCAAAGAGGAGAGTTTAAATTCCCCAGAAGACAAAATTATTTCTAAAACTAAAGAAAAGAATAAGCACCTGAAAACCAAAACATGTAAAAAAGTACAGGGTGGCCTATCTGATGCTGTTGACAAATTCCCAAAGAAAGAGCAGAGTGATGAATCCTCTGAAGATGATAAAAAGCAGATCAAAAAGGAAAGTGAAGAAAAAGAAAAGAAAACTACAGACTTGAAGAAAAAAGTAATTAAGATAGAATCACAGTATGAATCATCGTCATCTGATGGTATTGAGAAATTACCTGAGGGAGAAGATTGTCAGTATACTAAAATCATAACACAAAGTAAGAATGATATAACTGATGGTGAAAAAAAAGGCAAAAAACTAAAAGATAAAGTGTCTAAAAAGAAGGACGAATTATCTGATAATGTTGAGAAATTACCAGGGAAAGGGGATAGTTGTGACTCTTCAGAAGATAAAAGGAGTAAGACTAGAGCATCTGCTAGAGAAAAGAAAAAATGCATTTTGCCTCAAAAAGGTCCAAGGAAGAGACAAGAGTGTTCATCATCCGATACTGAGAAATATTCCGTGAAAGAAGATGGTTGTGACTCTTCTGAAAAGAGACTGAAAAGAATAGAATTGAGGGAAAGACGAAATTTGAATTCAAAGAGAAATACTAAGGAAATACAAATTTGCTCATCATCTTCTGATGCCGAGGAAAGTTCTGAAGACAATAAAAAGCAGAAGAAACCAAGAACTTCAGCTAAAAAGAAGGCTGGCAATATCAAGGAGAAAAAGAGAAACTCCCTAAGAACGAGCATTAAAAGGAAGCAAGCGGACATTACTTCCTCATCTTCAGATATAGAGGATGATGATCAGAATTCTATAGGCGAGGGGAGCAGTGATGAACAGAAAATTAAGCCTGTGACTGAAAGTTTAGTGCTCTCTTCCCACACTGGATTTTGCCAATCTTCAGGTATGCAAAAATAAATTAAAACTTTAGAATTTGTAATTTCCTCCTTGAGTAACTATTATTTCATTTTCCCTGAAGCCAATCAAATTCAGGATTACTGTTTAGATAAAGTCCATATACTATAAGCCTTTCTCCATTTATTTTTTTATTAGCATATATTAATTGTACAAAAGTGTTTCTTTGTGATATTTCTGTACATGTATATAGTATACTATGATCATACTCACCCTCTTCTATCACTCTTTTCCTCCCTCCTACCTTCATCCTTGTAAAATAATTTTTAATGGGTTTCATGGTGGTATTTTCATACATGCATGTAATGTACTTCGATCATATTCACCCCTCCCATCACCCTTTGCTTCCCTCTCCTACTGGTTCCCTCCACCAAACAGTCCCCCTTTTATTTTCATGTCATATATATTTTTTCCCCTTCATTTATTTTTATGTCATCCTTGGAAGGTATTTCAAACATTGTTAGTATTCTATGACAGGCATACCAGATTTCTTGGATAAATAAGAAAAGTTCCTGTCAATGTTGAATACTTTCTCTGGAATATGGGCAGTAGTTTTATGAAGGAAAATCAAACTGGCACCAGTAGTTTAGTAGGTATTCATGTAATTGAGATGAGTGTTTGATACTGGTATAACATAGTGTGTGAAAGTTTTGACTTGATTGCTTTTTAAGTTGGAATAAGCAACTTTGTGCCCCAGGGAATCCCCTGAGATTTTTTTTGGTGGTGTTGGGGATCGAACCCAGGGCCTCATGCACACTAGTCACACGATCTACCACTGAACTGTATCCCCAGTCCTCTCCCGAAACTAAGTTTACTTTATTGAAACCCTTTGTCAATAATATCAAGTAGTTTCTAATGATATGAACAGTTGTTTCTCCTCTAAAAACACTACCAAAATAAAGGAAGAAAAGATAAAAAAGAAAAAAGGAAATCCAAAAAGTAGATGGATTGCTCTACCCTGATGAGATAGAGCACTAGGAACATTAGGGTTGGGGTCATCTGGTCAATGATACCAGGAAAAATATTTTTAAAAAACTAATTATATCATTACTAGAGTTTTAAAAAAATGTGTACAATAAAGCGCACTGGCACTTGTGTTGCATATTTTTTTAGTCAGTAAGACCTGTCAGTTAATTTGGGTCACTTAGAATTTATTTAAAAAATTTTATAAAGGAAATTTCACATGAAACTGTTCCCAACATAGGCAGAATTTAATTTTTTTCCCTTCATTCCTTATGTTAGTGTTTTCCTATTTATTCCAATTGGATTTTAATGGAATTAACTTCAATCTTATTTTTAAATTGAACTTTAAATTTCTTTTTGGAGCACTTACCACTTGATTTGAAAACCAAGTGTGATATGCATGCATGGTGTGTGCTTCAGTTTAATGCTTTTTATGTTGGTGCACTTGGAAGGAACCCTGCCTGTGTGGCTATTGTACCGATAGGTCCCTTGCCCCTTCACTAAAATTCTTGGATCCAGATGTGCTTCAACATTTACAGTTTTATGGTTTTTAGAAGGGTAATGTAGAGTAGTTAATATATGCATGTATTATAAAAGTCTCAGTGAGCCTAATCAAACTCTTAATATTTATGCAGTAAAAGATTTGAACATTCATACTTAGAGGGATAAATACTTCAGATGAGGGCGTTTGGAAAAACCAAGTGAGCTTTTTGTACCACCTTACAAAAACTTGCAATTTGAGAGGTTTTTAAATTTCAGGATTGTATATAAAGGATTGTGAATTGTATTAAAAATACAGTATGTGATAATTTGATAGCAAATTAGTGTTCTAGTTATCAGGTTAGTTGGGATAAACTATTAAGGATTAGAGTAGAAAGATAATAAAAATTTTTTTGGTGGTACTGGGGTTTGAACTCAGGGTCTCATTCTTGCTAGGCAGGCACTCTACCACTTGAACCACTCCACCAGCTCAATAAATTGTTATTTGCTGTAGGTATATTCCCATTAGCAAACTGTAGGCTATTGAACTAATCTTAAACTTTGGAAAATTGATTTCTGTGATTAGACAGCTTCCCTGGTGAAATCTTCATATTTGATTTCAAATATTTTGCTACTTTTCATTTCTGAAAATCTTACTTGATTTTACATACATAAAAGTTTTTGTGATATACTTCTTATGTTTGGAACTATTAATACTTGAGTGATATTCCTTTAGTAGACCTTAAGAAGAGATGGTAACATACAGCAAATACTCAAAGGATGTGTCTTTCATTTATCCCTTCACCCAACAGTAGTCTAGATGATTGTATTCCAGTTTGATTTATAACCTTAATCTGAAGGACTAGTGGGCTGATTAGGTGGTAAAGTTTTTCTCATCTATATACCCAGAGAAGCCTAACTATCCATCACTTCATCAGATGTGAATCCTTCAAGTGTTTGGTGGAGCAAACCTTGTTGTTTGGGATTTTTCTTTATCCTGGATACTTCTTGGGACTACATGGATTATTTTGTATGAAAAAAAGAATACAAATTTGCTGGGGAATTGTACCAATCAAAAACTGGGCTTTTGCCTATATAAATACTTAATCAGAACAGAGCATGAAGGGCTTTGAAAATAAGTACTATATAGAAAGTACTGTTTTTTAAAAGATAATCTTGGGTGTGAACCAGTGATAAATGACATTCTTTAAAGATGTACTTGTACAGCTGGCGGAGTGGCTCAAGCCATAAGAGTGCCTATGTCAGGCCCTGAGTCCAAACCCCATTAGTGCCCCCCCCAAAAATAAATAAAAATGTACCTGTATGATTATGTAACTATGCTGAATTCATATATTCTGATACGCCCAATTTAATTTTAGGTGACAATTTTAGGAGATACTATAAAGCCCCTTTTCCTAATGAGTTCAGGATTCTGATTTATTTAGCAATATTTGGGTATCCTATTATAAGTGCACCATTTTTCTAGAAATTGGGACTTGGGAATGACATTAGCAACCAAAATGAAGAACATGTTTGTATAAGATTACAGTTTAATGCAAGACAGATATAGATAATACATAATTATTTTTTAAAGTACTAAAGAGCCAGATGCAGTGACACACCCTTATAGTCTCAAGTACTTGGGGGGATGAGGTAGGATGCATTTGAGACCAGGAATTAGAAGTCAGCTGGGCAACATTGTGAGAGACTCCATCTCAGAGAAAAAAAAATACTAAAGGAGATATAAAACCGTAGTGAAGCTCTGTGATAAATGGCAAGTAAGCTGTTTAAATATCTCAGGGAAAACTTAAAAGAACAGGTAGTAATTGAACTTGACTTTGAAGTTTATGTCCAATTTTGAAAAGTGGAGTAAAGAAAGAATGACAGTAATAGTACTACTAAAAGTCTGTTTAAATTGTGTATTTTGCTGGGATACTCTGAGATTTATTTTTGCTTTTCTGTTTTAGTATATTTCTGTCCTGAATCTGTAGGTGTCTGTTTTTCTTTTTCCAGTTCTGGGACTCAAACCCAGGGCTGTGCTCATGCTGGGCAAGAACTCTACCACTGAGCTATATCTCCAGTGTCTGTGTTTCCTCCATTTCCTCCCAACATTTTATTATGAACAAATTAAATCTACGGATTTTTTAGCCATTAACATTGTACTGTGTTTGACCACATACATATCTGTCCTTCTATCTATCCTTGAGTATATCTAACTTTTTTGCCCTTTTAAACATTTTATTTTTTTGTGGTGAAAGTGGTAAAGTTTATTAAGAAAGGACTACACTTTCAATAGACTGAAAGCTGATCATCTCTAGAAAGAGAGAATGAGAAAGACCTAAACTTTTTATTTTGAAATAATTATAGATTCATAGGAATTTGCAAGAAAAACAGGAAAAAAAGGCAGAGAAGAGTCTCAGATACCCCTTCACTCAGTTTGTACCAGTGGTGATATCTTGTATAAATGCAGTATAGTGTCAAAACAGCGAAACTGAAGATTTATTCAGACTTTAATAGTTTTTAAAAAAGATATTAACCATTCATTTATTTGAGACAGGGTCTTGCTGCACAGCTAGGCTGGCCTTGAATTTTCTGTGTAGTGCAAGCTGGCCTTGAGCTCACAATGCAAGATTATAGGTGTGCAGTAGCAGGGCTAGCTAGATTTCAATAGTTTACCATGCACTACACCCAAGACACTACTAAACTGTTGTATTATCATAACACTTTCTCTCCTTTAGAGGCTGTCCTTATCTCCATTACTAATTCCTGGCAGCTAGTAATCTGTCTTTATAATTTCGTTAACTTGAGATGGAATCAATAAAGGACTTAACATTTTGAGATTGGCTTTTTTTTCTCTCCCTCAGTGTAATTAATGCCTTTGACTTCTTCAATGCATTTCTTTTTTTAAGCACCCTTTTGAAAGTTTTTTTTAAAGTATTGTGAAAGTACTATTACTGAGAAACCAAACTCCCTTTGGGCAGTACTGGGTTTTGAACTCAGGGCTTTGAGCTTACTAGGCAAGTACCCTAGTACTTGAGTCACGCCAGAAGCCCATAAGCACACCTCTTTAAAAAATGTTACTAGTATATTACAGTTCCACAGGGGTTTTGTTGTGACATTTTCCCTATATACACACACATGGAAATGTCACAACAGTTTAGTTCATCCTCTCCATTATTCTCTGTCCTCCCCCATTTCCCTTCTTAAAATGCTAAGTTCCCTTTTGCAAGATGCTTTGTCTTAATGGATGACCAAGTAACTACCACTTCCACTAAGGCCAGAGGGAAGGGAAAGGGGGGAGGCTGCACTTCAGCTCTACTAAAGACCTTGTGATTGGTTCAAACACAGTCTTTCATTTGCATAATGAACTGAGCCATGATTGGTACAAACATGAAGGGACTGTTCTGATTGGCAGACACCTTTGTTCCCTGCCCCTTCTGGTTATGTAAGTAGGCTGCTCAAGTCACTTTGTGAACAGCTGGGAGATGTTTTCTTTTTTTGCTCCTGCGGTGTTTTACAAGCAAAGGATCCAGTGAAGGCTTTCTCTCCAGTGCCTTGTCGGCCTTTGCTGAGCTGGTAACCCAAAGCACAGGAAGAGAAGAGGCCAGGGAGGAAGATGCCCTGACGTCATGGCAGCAGTAAGGCTGGCAAGTTGATAGTATTGTTTCTGAGAATGGCGGGCTTTAAAACCCTCGTGCTCTGGGAAGGAACCTTCAAATATATAAAGTCTAACTTTTTACTACTGGCATTTTACAAGTTTCCTATTATACTCTCTATGAACATTCCATTTACTCATGTTTTAGATTTTAGAGTAGTATTTAGAACCCACTAGTTTGCTCTAAAGTCTTTGGCTTTCTGTTTTGTTTTACATGGTTTTATTGGTATAGATAATTTAAAGCTAATTTTAAGTACACTTTTTCCCCCCAAGGAGATGAAGCCTTATGTAAATCAGTGCCTGTCACAATGGATGACGACGACGACGACAATGATCCTGAGAATAGGTATGATTCCATCTGTAAGGACTTTAAAAAGATTATAACACACCCTAGGCGTGCACGCAAACAGCAGCAACGGAACAGCAAGCAGGTTGTAAAAACCAGGAGTGCCTGCCTTAGAAAGACTCACTCACAGTCTTCCTGCAAGTGTGAAAGAAAGGCCAGAAAATGGGCTAAGAAACCTTAAGAGAAAGTAAATATCAGTATTAACACACCTAGCATAGGGTGTGTTATAAATACAAAACTGTCAATTTTGTGTTTCCGTGTAAACTGTGATAATTTTTGAGATTATTTTGACAGATTATTTTTTTTGATGAAAGTGAATCATATCAATAAATTGGTGATAACAGACATCTCTATATTTGATTATTGTTTTTGTCATTCACTATGGTGGTCCTATTTATTAAGACCTGTTGAAAGTGAAGAACAATTACTTAGATATTTACAATTAAAAAATTGCTTTCAAAATAAATTCAGTTTACAAGGATCTAGATTGATTTAGACTTTGACTATTTTTCAAATAAAATGGAAGTAGTATGATAGCATTGACTTTGATAAGACTTGAACACTAGGTTGAAATAAGAACAGTATAGGCTGTGCAGATGACAGAGAAGGAAAAGAAGACACACCCCATCATAGCAGTGAAAAAATAAACAAAACAAAGATATTAAAGTCTATAGCCAAGATATTTCTACATATATTTTGAACATCTCCTGTTCTATAGACTAGTACTCATAAGCTTCAACAAAAAAATTTAGTGGTGGAGTTGAAGTAATGGGGACAGAGATCTGATTTAATAATGTTCTAACAACTGTGTGATCGTCTTTTGCCATAGTTTCTTTTTTTTTAAATCTCTAAAAATGAAAAGGTTGAAAGTAGTTTTCTCTGATTAATTGTAGCACCAAAAATCTATGTTAGACTTGAGGTGATTTTTATTAAAGAACACTATAGTAACCATCTATTCCTCATAGTAAGCTCTAGTATTAGGAAATCATGAAAATATACATGTAATTTTTGTGTCATAATTCTATAAGAAATGAAGTGAGGAACACATGCCCTGGGTAAGCTGTTACTCTAGCTGTGCTTCCTGCCTTGCTGATGCTGATAGGTTTCTCTATTTCAAAGCTCAGCATTCTGTTTAGAAACAGAACATGTTCATAAAGGTGAAACATCAGATTCATTTTACACTTAAACAGAGCTCAATCATGGACATGAAGACTTGGCTTCTGCTTTCCCTTGTTTTTTTTTAATGTATATCCAGTTATTTTGTGAGATATGGGTGGAGTCCAGAATGGAGTAGAAAAGGGATACAATTTATTCATCATGGGTTTTGTAGTAGACCATACAGCCAGATTATGAAAGCATTTAAATTTGATTCTCTTTTAATGTGCTTTAATTCTTCATTTACATATGCTATGTTTTCCTATAAATCATGAGTCCTCAAATGTTACTGATAGTCTATTAATGTTCAAAACATTCTATCCTAATTTCACTGTGAGAAGTGAACTTTCATATTTAGCTGCCAAATAAGAATGTTGTTAAGGTATGACAATTTTTTGTGTTACAGCTTGTCAAAATATAAGTAACATTTTCATCTTTTAAAAAAGTTGCCTGATCATATCTCTCTGTAACTGGCAAGTATTTTATTGGAAAGTATCTTTAATTCCACCTTGTACTTGTGACAAAAATACAACCTTGTTGAGTACTTTTGAGAGGAATTGAATTTTATCTTGAGCATGTCTTTCTTTACACTCAGTTTAATGTGCTTTTATAAAATATACACTTGTTTAACATCCACTATACCAAAGAGGTATCTAATACGAATGGGTTATCAGTCATGATGGGGATATAAGAACCTTCTTGCACTATTTTATTATAGATGATGTATTTGAACATATTTGAATATGCACTGAGCAACTTTTCAAAATTTGTTTGCAGATCATAATTAACTTTTGGCATTATTTTTCCAACTTCATATTTTTAAGTGGGATATATTTCAGTAGTGAGCATATTGTAATTGTAAATTTGTACACAATTGTGCAATTGTGTATAAATTGTATATAAAATTCATATGCTTTATCTTTTTAGTAGTATTGTGATACATTTCCAGTGTTGGTGTTTATGGAGAGGAAAATAGTGTATTGTTTTAAATGCTTAACTATTTGGATGCAATAAATTTGTGTAAAACTTTTTTCTTGTTCAAGCATTTAATTTGAATTAAAATGAATCTTTTCTTAAGTGTTCATAAGAATGTGTCAGAATTGAGATTCATAGAGTAGTTGTAACCAAAGAAATTTTGACATTCTTGAAATTCAGGAAATAAATACTTTTAATTACCAAGAGTCAATATACTTTTTAAAAAATTGTATAAAAGTTTAACAAAAGATTTACTATTCTATTTTATAGCTGTGATATTAAAAATAAAGCTGTGATAGCTTTTGAGGTCATTAGGAATCTTAGTCATATCTTGAATACTTTAGTAGAAATAAATTGTTGTTTTAACATGCTAGTATGTAGCATCATTTATATTGGAAAGTAAATGTATACTGTTGTGAGATAGGATGGTTTAATCTGTGAAATAATTTCTATTTAATTGCATTTATTTAATGAAGAATGACAATATACCTTGATAAACACTGATTTTTGTAATTTTTCTGTTTGAGAGTTTTAGAAAACAATATAAATAGTAGCCTCATATTTTGTAATTTAACTGAGAATTTACTTAACATTTTTTACCTTAGGCTTTGTGTACTTTTTGAAAGGCAGAATAATAATACCGAATAGCTTGTCAGATTTTTTTTTAAGATTTCCTAAAGTTACACACATAATTTTAAGTTAGGTATGTGAGTGTACAGTTAGGGTAATGTTCCATTTGCCTTTTGAATACCTGTTACTTGGGTTTAAAATTGGTTCTTTTTTTGAAAAGACACCCATTATATAATTGTTTTTATTGTGGTTACAATTCAATAATTAGGCTGCCATTGAAAATACAGGTTGAATATCTATTATCCAGAATGCTTGGGTTCAGAAGTGTTTCAGATTTCTGAGTCTTTCAGATCGTGGTATGTTTTCTTTGACTTTACCAATTGGGCATCCCTAATCTGCAAATCTGAAGGATTTCAGAGCATTCCAGATTTCAAATTTTCAAATTAGGAATGCTTAGCAATCTCCATCATGGTTCCTTTATGTTTTCGGTATAACTGGGAATATATCTTTTTCCAGTACTAAGGTTTGAACTCAGGGCCTCACGCTTGCTAGAAGGCGCTCTAGAGCCACTCTGCCAGCCTTAACTGGGAATATTTTGACCAAACTTTTTTCTCATATTTTTTTTGAGTCAGGGTCTCACTATATAGCCCAGGCTGTACTCCAACTTACTTGTAGCCCAGGCTGACCTTGAACTTGCAATCCTCCTGTGTTAGCCTCCTGAGTGCTGGGATCATAGGCATGCCTTGCCATACCTGACACATAGTATCATTTATTTTATTTTATTTATTTTTCTTTTTTCTTTTGGCAGTACTGGGATTCAAATTCAGGGCCTTAGCACATTATCACTTGAGCCACACCTCTAGCCCTTTTTGCTTTAGTTATTTTTCATATAGGGTCTCTTGCTTTTGCTTGGGGCTGGCTTTGACAGCATGCCTCCTATCTCTGCCTTGTGAGTAACTGAGATTACCACAACACTTGGCTTGTTTTTTGAAATAGAGTCTACCTAATTTTTTTGCTGGAGCTGGCCTCAAGCCTTGATCTTCTGTTCTCTGCTTCCAGAGTAACTGGGATTACAGGAATGAGCTATCATGTCTGGCTTTAATATCATATTTTAATTTAATACTTACACTGTGAATGCATCTCAGTAATAGGATGGTGGTGAGGTTTGTTTTTGTTTTTGTTTTTTGGTGGTACTGGGGTTTGAACTTAGGGCCTTGTGTTTACTATGTAGGTGTTCTTATTGCTGGAGTCACTCAGACAGCCCTGGTTTTTTTTTTGGTGTGTTAGGTATTTTTGAGATAGGGTCTCACCAACTATTTGCCTAGGCCTGGCTTCGAACTGCAATCTTCCTGATCTCTGTCTCCCAAGTAGCTAGGATTACAGACACGTGCCTGGCATGGTAGTGAGTTTTAACAGCATTAGTGTTGAGGATCATTATTTCTGGATTTTTTTTTTTTGCGTATTCCACAGAACATAAAAAATTTTAAATTTAGGTTTTGAGAGTAAAGACATACTTTTCTAGATTTTTATAAGTAAGTATTCCCCCCCCCACACACAATTTTGACTAAAAGGTGAGGTTTTTTTTTTTAATTTTTGTGGAAATAGGGTTTGAACTCAGGGATTCATACTTGCAAAGCAGGCACTCTAGTGTTTGAGCCATGCCTCTAGTGCAAAAGCTGAGATTTTTATATGAATACCCTTTTTTCACACACACACACTTACAGTTTATTGTTGAAGAATGCTTACTTTGTTCTATTAACATTCCACATTTTACCTCATAATTTCTTTGTGGTTGGAGCTGTATTTTTTCATAGAAGCAAAATCTAATATGGAGTCTTCATAAAGAAATTACCTATTGTTGATAGAAATTCTACTTTATTATAGTGGGGCTAGATTGTAGTCATTTAAATTTCTGATTATTATATCATTTGGTAATAGTTTTTTGCCTTTCAAACTAGAAAATATACAAATTACTGTTTTTTTCCTGTTGGCATGGTGTGGGTATTCTCTTGAAGGCTTTATTTTGTAAATCCAACATAATTTGGAGGAGACTAATGATTCTTGCATGTTATTCATGCTAATGAAGATATTTAACGATCGTTTACCTGATTTCAGTGTGGGCATGTCACAAGTCCCTTAACCGACTTTTCTTTGGCTTCTATTTTAAATGCATTTCTAAACACCCATCTCCTTCATATGGTTTTATATATTCTATATACATATTTGTTAAATCTGCTATAATTTTTCCTGTGAATTTATTTCTTTTTAATGGTGATCCTGTTTGATTCTTCGTTGTACTT